AGCTATTCATTTAATTACTGCTATTAATATTGTTACTTAATTATTATCTTCGAATAATTATACACATCAAACTTTTGATTACTTCATTCTTTATGATTTATTTAACAAATTTCATCGCCCTTTCGCAAATAATCCAAAAACTATTTCTGCCAAAAAATTTTTGGCTTCTTTTTGTATTCATTCCTGTTCTTTTTCAGTAGATTTTTTTCAAGGACGACAGTTAATAATATTCGTCAAATTTCTTCAGCGATCGGGACGTTCATCTCTTCGCATTTTTTTTTTTCATTAAATCGGAAAATCGAATTTTTCCGCGGGACAGAAAATCTCTCATCCGATCTCTTTCACAAATGCATCACCTCTCTCTCTCTTTTTTTTCAGTTATTTTTAATCAATATTGAAAAGTGCATTATGATTTGGTAAAAGAGTATTATTTTTTTCTCTAAAAGGCTGTAATAAGTTGTTTTTTGATTCCTCTCTTTCTCTTTCTCTCTCCCTTTCTCTTTCAAATGAAATCAATGTATTTCATTTATATACTTTTCATCAAATTGTCGTCCTTTTTTTTGATTTGCCAAAAACTTCTATCATTCACTTCTCATTCTCCTCACTTTTCTGTCATTTGATAGCTATGCGATCATAATTGATAAAGAAAATTGAAAATTGAAAATTCACCCACCAGTTTAACCTTTAATTAATTCTTTTTTTTACACGGCAAGAAAAGAAGCGAAAAATGAATAAAGGAAATTTCGCAACATTAACTTTCGTCGTAAAGTAGTGATTGTGGTAATTGTGACGATAATTCGACACAGTGTTAAATGTCATCTAATATTTCTATTTTTTTGTCTAATATTTTTGTATACAATAAAGAAAATGGGACTGTTAGCATTTCAAAAATCAAATGAGTCAGTTATCAAAAAATAAATTAGAAAAAAGTATTTGTTGTAAAATGATTTTAGCATTATACTTCCTTACAATATTACTATTTTCTTCTCTTTTTCGATACGAATAAATTTTATAATGTGCCCGTTTAAATTTCTCGTTCCAATAAAAGTTTTAAGAGATTATTATTGTTATTGTTGAATGGAACATATGGAAAGAATATTAGCTACATATTCAGATTTTAAAAATAACATCATTCTATCATACAAATCTTTTCAAAAAAAAATAGGAAAGAGAAGAAATCAATCAATATTGCTATGCTTCAATGTTGCATCATATAGTTATTCAAAGATTTTTGCCATTAAATAACGTTTGAATTTAAGATAACAAAGTTTTACTTTTTTTTTCCTATTTTGCATTCCGATTCTTTGATTGATTAGCCGCATTAAAAGGTCTTCATTGATGATCGTTCTTTACTTCAGGTGCATTTTGCTTCGTGTTATTTTTCTTCGTCTCGCTGCCAATTTCTTTTGTAAAAATTTTCTTGAAAGAAAACTTATCGCATTTTTGTTTCGAAAAGAAAGGGAAGGAAAAGATTAATAGCATAAACAAATTTGGAATTACTCAACTGTTCAATTTCAGGTTTTGAAAAACCATTCAGAACAATAACATGCTCATAAATTTTATTTACCTTATTTATTCATTGATGTAAGAAAAAGTATTAAAATGATTGCACAATCATAATTACGATTATATAAAATGGTATAAAATTTTCAATATACAAAAGAAAATGATGGATAAAAGGATAATTTTCAGTTTTTGAATATTTTTAATTTTTTAACCGATTTACGCATTTTTTTTTGATGAAATAATTTGAAAACTTTTTTTTAGATTTCTTTATCACATTTTTCTATTATAATTTTATAATTAATATCTAAAATCGCAAGAAATGACATTCAGCACACATGACTTTCATACTATTTAATGCAAATACTAATTTAGAAAAAAAGGAGAAATTTTGTAATTAGGCCTTATTTACGAGTGCATATCAAAATCATTTGAAAAGGATTGTATTACTTTATATGAATGATTTGACTTATGACTAATAAGTGAAAGTTAAGTGAAAATGAGAATTTTCAAACAGGACAGAGAAAAAAGGTTAACAAATGAAGATGAATAAAAGAAAGGAAATGAATGAAAATATCGTTAAATTGGACTATTTTCCCTATTAATTAATTTTTAATTTTTTAATTGCTTGTTGAAATGTTGCAATATGTGATAATGAAAAGTGAAGAAAGTAGACGCTGTAGATGGATAATGATAAGTTAAAGATAATCATAAAGATGGATTATTAATGTTTCATTTTTTAGCTCTAACAATAAGTGTATTTGCTGTGGAAAAAATATAATCATAAATGATAATACTGTCACTGGTATAATTATAATCATTAGTCTAATTTTACGAAGCTTAATCAGCTTTAATAACCTTACCTAAATAATCTAATAATAACCAAGTAGTAAGTGAGAGATTTAATTTATTATAAATTAAATTCTTTTCAAATCTTCCAGGCTTTTGTTGGAGATTTCTTATTCATTTTTACATTTCAGATAATAATTGATACAAAAATTATTTTTCACTGTTGAGGACGAATACATTTATTTCTTCCTTTTGAGTCTTTTTTTCCTAGAAATACTGTCGAAAAATGCGATTTATACGATCGCTATGATTTACAGCTTCCGGTAAAGCAATTGAAAATTTTTATAATCTTTCTTTTTTTCATAAGAAAAAAAATTTTTTTATCTTTTATGTGATACGAGAAAATTTATGCATTTTATTGTTGTTAAAAACATTCAAAGATGTCATAATGACAAAATTTTTGCTCTTTTCGTTTCAACTAATTTATTGAGTAATTAAGTTTTAATTTCTTACAGAACGGCATTCTCAAGAGGAGAGAAAGGAGAAGAATATTTGTGTTTCATCAAAATATCAATTAAAAAAAAATTTTTTCCATAAAATACCGGTGAATGTCCAAAATAGCAATTGGAATTTTTGCCTTAACAAAATTCCAATAAAATTTTTTATTCCATAAAATACAAACAAAAGTTGCACTTCTACCCAAAATATGGGTAGCGAAATATTTGGTGAAAGTTTTTTTTTAAGTTATAAAAGAGAAAAAGAAATAAACAGTCAGTTTTGATCAGTCTTTTGATAGTATTACCAATTAAATTATTGTTTTATCACGAAAAATTTAATTTAATCGCATATTCTTTAAAAAGATTTATTTATTCGAATTGGAAAAAACTTAAATAATATTTATTTATTAAATAGCATATTATTTTATTTCAGTCTTCTCTTTATTTTTTATCATTTTTAATAACTGTCAATTTTCATTCCAAATTTTCATTTTTCTTCTCATTAAGGGAAATTTATGTCGAAAGATACATTTCATGTTATTTATAAATAAAACATATTGTTTTTACATGAATGAAGAATTTTGAAATTTTAAAATATTTTTTGAAATGCATCATCTTTCTATTTTAAAATTTCTCATTTTAACTTCCAATAATCCATTTATTCCTTCATTTTTGTTTATTTGATCGATCCAATTTTATAATATCAGTTTTGTTTTTTTTTTTTGTTTTTCGTTTTTCTCATCCCTTTTTCCCCTTTCCTTCCACTCCATTCTTCACCACCCCTCCGCTTCCCCCGCCTCTTCTAATTTTTCTCCATCGTGTAAGTGAACATTTCATTGCTTTGCTTCAAACAAATTCAAACAAACATTCGGACAGAATTTACATTTTATGCGATTTCCAGGTTATTTAGCATCTCTTTTCTTTCTCTTTTTTTTCTTTTTTGAAATTTAAAGAAAAGTGAATAGAAATATTATAAAAAAAGAAAATACAAAAAGGCAAATAAAAAAATCGACGAAATATACTTTAAAAAAAATAGTTGAAAAAAAGGAAAAAAAAAGTGAAAGTGTTTACATAAGGAATTAACAGATGTTAATTTGACCAATTTATCTTGAATAATGTATTCATTATAAATTAGAATTGAATGAATTACTTTAATTATCTTACAGTATAATTTCCCGTTATTAATCTTGATTGGTAATTCATGTTCATCGTCTCATTTTTTTTTTTTTTTGATGAATTAACCTTGACTTTTATTCACTGCTTTAATTTCGGATTTTTTAATTTATATTATTATATGAAAAATACATTAATAATATTTCTATTACTACCCGTATGATCACTCTATTATTTGATATCTTCAAACTTTTTGCTTTAGTTTGAATAATTTAAAATTTTTTCAATAGACTAGAATTATAGAAATATAATAAAATATTATCCCCATTAAATTAGTTACATATTTTTATAATTAAGGAATTTCCACAAAATTCGAAGTAATTTTTTTGCAAATATTCATTCAAATATATACATTCGATTGATTCTGTTGAGACTTAATAAATTAGATAATTTGCATACGTGAAAAGTGTCTAATCTGATTTGATAACTCTTTTTGTCTCTTTCTCTCTTATTTTTTACTTTCATACAATAGTAATACATGTTCCTTCTTTTTTCCGAAATTTGCATATTGATTTATCATCATCAATGTCTTCGATTCCTAATGATATAAAGGCTGTCAGTTAACCATTATTCATTCATATCCGTCCTGTCTGTCGTGCATTCTTTCATTTCTTTCTTTAATTGGCTTTTATATTGTAATAATACAATTCTTCTGTTATCATACTCAAAATTAAATTTATGACATTTATATTTTGCAAAAAATTTATATTTCAAATTTATAACACATTCATGTTGATTAAAAATTTATATTTCAAATTTGTAAGGATTTTATATTGGAAAGCTATAATTATATTTTATGTTGGAAAGTTATTATTATAAATCTTGTTTGAACCAAAAAAAACTTTTCTTGTTAAGAATATTAATATTATTATTCATATTATTAATTATTGTGAATTTTGTGGTATTTATTCGAAAGCGTTATCTTTCCATTGGAATCATTTTTTTTTCTTTGAATTACATAAAATTCACGAATTTCAAATAAAAGTTTAATTTGGTTATGAAATGTCATTTCAGCTGAACTGCTGAAAAGAAAAAAAAATGGAACAAGCAAGGGAAAGTACTCCATCGAAGGGACGTCGCAGCGTTGAAAAAACAATTTCTCGAGAAATGAAGTACGAGTGAGTCATTCTCGTTTATCACGCAAACTTCAAAAAGAAAATGAAGAACGATAGTAGTAAATTCGGTAAAAGTATGCGTAATACGGAAAATTTCTGGTTTGTGTTCCGGAAAAAACTCATTTGAAAATTTTCGTTCATTTTTCATTTTTGAAAAATTAAAAAATAGTCAAACAGTGTAGAAAGAAATTTCAATGTTACAATATTCACTCAATCATAAGAATGTTAAATTTTCCGATCTATTTATTTTTAAAATTTAATATGATGTGGAAATTTGGAAAGAATTAAAATTATGCAGAATGCAAAAAAAAGTTTACTTTTTGCTCCAATTTTACGATTCGAGTGAAATTTGCTTGATTTACTTCATCATACTAATTTGGTATCCGTTATTTTTTTAATGATTGAAATTACAATTTTATTTTATCTTTGAAAATGATGAAATTTAATCTGATTTTGATTTGAATTAGTTTATTTACTATTATTATCAATAATATTATAAGTACTCAAAATTGATCGATAATTTTAGGATAACAGGAAGTAATGGTAATATCGATGATAATATAGAATATATCGATTCAGTGAGTACAACTGACTTCGGATACGGTATCACAGGAGAAGGAATTTCGAAAATTATATATGATCATCCCAAAGATGAATTAATTAATTATAAAAGACGTATAGATGCAAATGCTGAGCAACAACGTGAACATGCTGATATAATGGCCGCATTGCAGCATAAAGTACGTGTTATTGTTAACCATTGATCTGATCGTATTAGCACGATAATACACATTTGTAATATCACGATAAAATTGTCACTGATAATAAAGTTTATCATTCTTTCAAACTTTTTTTTCTTCCAATTTTTTCTTTTTTTTATTTCATCTTTTCTTTTCTTTTACTGTATGAAAAATATTTTTAACTTAATTTTTAAGAAAATATTTGATTTTTTTCAGAAGCATAAAACTTTCATTTTTAAGCTTTAGTAAACTGTTTAATTTTTTTCTCAAAATTCTTAAAGTTTTGTTTTCTTATTTTTAAAATAAAAAGAATGTTTCAGATTGAGCAATACCGGCAACGATTTGCGGAAATCGAAGGAAGATTGGCGGTGCGTGAATTGGATGATTCGGGTGATTTGGCACGTATGAAACTAAGTGAGGAATGGTTGCTCAGTTCAAAATTTAAAACGCAAGAAATTGACGATGCAGAATTTGCAAGCCAATTAGAACATGAACATAGAAGGTTTGTTACATTTGAAGCGGTTCTCAGCGTGAATAGACGTTTAATTACAATTAATGCAAGTTAGATTTACATTTTAGAGCAGAAGAGTTGGCTATACAATTGCAGCAAGAACGTCTTCAAAATGATCAATTACAAGGTGAAATTCAACGTTTGCGCCATCAATTTGGTATCAGTATCCGTGACAAGGAAAGAATTTATCAAACACGAGAACGGGTAAAAATAATTGACATAGCAAATTTATTGTATAGAGATATTTATTGTAATAATGATGAATATTTACTGATAATGATAATAATTCATTCATATATGAATATTATGTTTTCAAAAAAAAAAAATTCCAGAATCTTACACGTTATTTGAATGAAGAGCAGCGTAAAATGATGGAATTGTGGTCAGAGTTACAACGCGTACGCAAACAATGTTCAGAATACAGGGAACAAACGGAACGTGATCTAGAAAATCAACGTAATGAATTCATCAAAGTAATTCGACACGTAAGCGGTCTTGTCCGTGGACTTAATGTTGAGGTAATTTTTTTTGTTCGGTACAAAAAATGCATACGTATTAAAATTTTAAATGAAAATAAATTTGTTCCACAAATAATTTGCTGCTAAAGCAGATAATATGGAGGATTAGTTTAGAAAATTAAGTAAATATTGCATATATTTTGATAGATATGATAATATTAACCGAATTTGAAATACTTAACAACATATACAGTAATATGATGAGATCCGACCAGACATAAATCGAAGATATTTGAAGTTGGATTAGGAAAAGAAAAAAAAACATGCAATAAATAAAATTTTTAGAGTGGTACACATACAATATTATCGGATTTATCGAGTGAAAGTGGAGTAGATATTACGCAGGATACGGTACTCATCGAAGCGGTCAAACGTTTCCACGATTCACAACAACAAGCAGTTCCGGTAATTGGACCAGAATTGATCACTGAACTTCGGTTAGCTCGTTCCGAAGATGCTGGTCTACACGATGAACTTATGAGAAAGTATGTTTGTGGCATCATTTATGATGATGAGAAAAAATCTCTAAACTGATTGTTGCATTTCTCTGAAAATTTTTTATAGTAATAATTATTCAATATCTAAATATTCTCAATATTGTTATTTTCGTTTCCGAATTTAAAGGCTTTTTTTTTAATTCAAAAGTAATTTGAATTAAATTTTTTTTTTTTGCTAATAATTATAGATATGAGGAAAGTGCGAGGCGAATCATTGAATTAGAGAACCGTGATGATGAAAGTCACAATAAATTGGTTGCTTTAGAAAGTGATCTGAAACGTACACGTGATCGTCTTACTGAGAGCCAGGTATTTTCATTCTTGTAGAAGTCAAATTATTTCTTTTACTTTACATAAAAAACCATAAAATTTTTAAATTTTAGAGAACAAAAAAGTAGACAAATTTTTTTAGTGTTTTTAGTACATTAGAAAAATTAACAGATAATGATAAAGAACGATTTGATAAATTATTTTCGTAAACTTTTCAAATAGTGTTTATTAATGAAGTAATATTTATTATGATCATAATAGAAATAATAGCAACTGGATTGCCTAAGTTAGAATAAAGGATTCAATCGAATATCCATGATTCGAATTAATTTGATTAGTAGTATCAATTTCACAGCTGAATTAGATTAAAATTGACTTAGGTATACATTATAAGCCTCTTTTAAAAAGTTTACCCAATTGATCATATCAAGTTTGCGATCATCAGGAATACGGTAACAAGATGACACAAAGTCATATCAAATGACTAATTAAAGGAAACTCCTTATGTTTCAATTATTTTAAAAATCTGTGCATAAATCATTGTTTCCCATATTCAAAATTTTTTTACATCTGAGTTAGTGATAACAAATTTGAAAAATATACGACGTGACTTTATTGACAAATTGTTAAGTGAGAAAAGGTGATCAACCAAGTTATAACATACCAAATACATGCTCAAAAAAATGATTTTAAATTCAGATACAATCACTTTAACCCTATATTATTCTATTTCAATTAATTTTTTGTGAAAGAAAATATTGTTATGCAAGAAAGTTTTAATATAAAAATTTTAGTATATGTAATCAGTAGTTTAGTATAAGTTGCAAAGTTTCGACAAATTTCACATCTCTTATAATTTATTCATTCATTTTTTAAATATGTAAAATTTAATTCCTTTATGTATATTGATTGATTGATTGGTTTCAGAATGCTCTTCATAAATTGTATGATATGACGCAGGATTATGAAATTGACGGTAAAAAAAAGACAAGATCATCATCACCAGGTTTGTTTGTTACGCTTTAGAATCCTTTTTTAATTCATTAAATTTTAAAATTCTAAAATTAAATTTTAAAATTGTTCCTTTTTTTTTGATCTTTTTTCAGCTTCATATCAGTTTTTTTATCATCTTGTTTTATTATTGCTAAATTTTTCCTTTCTATCCTTAAAATTTATTTGAAATTTTTTTTTGCCTATTATTGCAAATGCAAAATGTTTGTTATTTCCTTCATTTTCCTTTCTTCAACATTTTTGTTATGCATTTTTTTTTGCATAGTTTTAAATTAATTTCCTCCTGACATTTTATTTTTTAAATATTCGTTTTTTATTAAAAGTTATGAGATTAATCGTGTTTCTTCTCATTTTTCTTTTTAAGAATGTAATAAGAAATGAATAAAAATGGGAAAAATTATTCTGAAAATTGAAAAGAATGAACGAAATTTGAGAAGCTATGAATTTCTTTTTTGTTACAGCGAAAGGTTATGTTCCACCGCCTGAGGTTGTTCGTAGCGTTCGTTACGTTTTAAACAGCCGTAACAATGATAATAACGTGTTACAACGTAAATTAAAAAATGCTGAAGTTCAGGTTTGAAAATTTTTTTTGATTAAAAAAAATTACTGAAGGATGTGTAATTAAATTATTATCGAAGAAGATGAAAAATATAATCAGTATAAAAACTTTAAAAAAAAAAACGATAATTTTAAAATAATTTAGATTGGCGAACTTACAACCAAATGTGATTCACTTGAAGAAATTCGTCATCGTTTGGAAAAGCAAATTGCTGAAGCAAATCGAACATTAACGAATCGGTAAAAAATAAAAAAAAAAAACAGAATTATATTTTTTGCTGTATTTCTGTCATAATTTAATAATAATGAGGAATATTTTATTAGTTGAGTTGAGAGAATTTGTAATAATTTCAATTTATATTTTTATTTTTCACATAGTGAAAGAGATTTGGATGATGCGAAGCATACAGTGAAGAATCTGGAAGATCGTTTGAAAAATCTTGAACAGGAAAAGTTATCCATCGAAAGCGCACGCCGTCATCTTGAAGAAGAAATTCGGAAAATGAAAGAGTAATTCTTCACAGATTGGATTATTATTTCTGCCGGAAACACTCCAAAAAATATTGATCATTAGCGAACTTTCATTGATTTTCAGACAATTCAACAACACTCTGTTAGATGTGGAGCGAAGAGCTGCTGAGGATGCAGATGATCGTATCCGAAAAATCGAAGAGGATACTAAAATACGGTAACTTTTTGGAAAATTGATGATCGTATTGTTGCAATTGATTAAGTATTAAATTGGATTTAATAAATTTCATTTTTATAAATTCCGATAGTTTAAAATTAATTATTGATAGCATAAGTGAACTCACCGGTCGGATTGAAACACTCCTGGAAGAAAATAAAAGGTTGAAAGATGAAACTGATGGAATGAAAAATCGAATTCAAGATTTCGAAAAAGAATACAATGAGATTGTGAGGAAATTGGAAGAAAAAGGTACGGAAATTAAGTTCTTAATCAAATATTTTTTCCACTATTTTAGTTTTCTTATTAATTAGCTAAAATTCGGAATTAACATTTTTATATATCACTAAACCGCATAAAAGCAATTCTATTCTCAAATAATTTTTGTGACACGATCTTTGTCAACTTTTTTACGTTAAATTTTCCGAAGAAATTTCTGGACAGAATGAAATAATTTACTTTTGCAGATAATGCATTAAAAAATTTGGAGAGTACACGTCAACGTTTGGCTAATGAATTAGAAGAACAACGTGTACGGTTTGATACAGTAACCAGTGAATTTGACAATCTACGAACAAATTACGATAGCGCCAACAAGAATACGGTAGCTATCGAATTAACAGTAAAAGAAATCAAAAAACAACGTGATGAAATTATGTAAGTTCATCGTATATTTTTTCACTTCACTGATAAAAAAGACGAAGTTTAATCTGAAAATTTTAAAATTAATTTTGGAAATTCAACTTTCAATGTTTTGAAGAGTATTTTATAGCATTTTTTTTCAAAATTTGGTAACAGCAATAAACAGAAAAAATAATTAAAAATTAGCGAATTTTGGTTTAATGTCATTAAATTATTGTTATTTCATCAATATATATGTATCAAAATTAATAATTAATAATGAATTAAACTCAAGTACCACGAATAAAAATTATTGCTTACTAAATATGACAAAAAATATATTACAGAAAGCAAAAGGATGCGTTGACGAAAGCGCTTGCTGATTTGGAAAATAAACTGAATATTGAAGCAAAAGCGCGTACTGATGCCGAAAAGCTTAACCAATGTTTGCTATTAATTATCGTTTTTCAATTATTCCAAATTTTTAATTATTATCGGTTCTAATTTTGTTAGCTGAAAAAATGGTAAGGAATATAGCTTAGAGAGTGATTGATGAAGGAAAAAATAAATGAGAAGACGTAGATGTAATTAAATGTATATAGATTGTATTAATATTATGATATTATCATTGAGTTTGCTGAAAATACTAGAAATGCATGTCAGTGAAGTAAACTAAAGACTAGAATTATTTTATTTTAAAGAATGAATGATGAATGGAATTGTTGGTATTTCCTAAATTAGATTTGTTTAATAATCTTTCGACACATTGCAATTTTTCATTTGTCTTCTCTGAAAAATATCAAATAAAAAGTATAAATTAAAGCATTAAGTAATTCTTTTATATTAATTTTATTTTAAGGCCATTTGGATGAAATCAATAATTTCAAGAAACAAATCAATGAATATTTAACTGAAGTGACAGTTATTCGGCGTCAAAATGACGATTTCGATACGCAACTAAAAACAAATCAGGCTAAATTAACAAGCACGGAAAATTCTTTGATTGCTGCAAAAAAGGAAATGGAAAAATTATCGGAAATGAATAATCGTTTACAACAAGATAAGAACGAACTCAACAGGTTTGTTTATCATCTTCATTTTCGGAAGTAATACATTCGTTGCATGCGTGTCATTTTGTTTTCCTTTTTTTACATGTTATATGATTCAAAAAAAAATTATAGGAAAATAATAAAATGTAAATATTACAGTGCAAAACAAAAGAGTGAGACGGAATTTAATTTACTCAATGAAAGAATTCGTAAATTGGAGCAAGAAACTGAACGTATTAGGAAAGATAATAAGGAATTGGAGGATCATGAACGTGTGGCACGTGATGATCTGAAACAAGAAACGAATCGTAATCATCTTCTTAAGAAGGAACTCGAAGAAGCTCAATCTGAAATCATCGCACTAAATGGTTTGTTTTTAAATTTGCTTAAATTACTCATTCCTGAGAGTTCACAAATTACTGTTTGTCTTGAAGAAAATCTTAAATGATAGAAAATTTATTAAGTCGAAATTAGGATTGATATAGGATTGAATTTTAGTGAGATCTAAGTTTCACTGATCATCTGTAATATTGTAAACTATAATTTTTTCATATCTATCAAATAAGGCAATGACATTTTTGAAATATTAAATTATCATTAGTCATATTATTCATATTCAAGAAAATAAAGAGTGATATAAGTTATGATTAAATAGGAATGATTTTTAAATGTAAATACAATTTTATAAACGCGGCAAATTGAACATTCGTTTCTTCATTAACCAATCAATTTTAATCACACAGTTTAATTTTTTTTGCAACAGATCGTTTGGCAAGAATGGATGCAGATTTCAAGGTGAAATTAGACGAAACTGTCAGATCAAACTTTGATAGTCATGACACAATTAAATCACACGGTAAATTGCACTTTAGAAATTAATTATCACGTAATAAGAAATCAAATATTTAGGGCGGTTATGAAGGACTATTTACTATTTCTGATCATTCCTATCATTAGTTATGGTATTTCTATTTCTGATTATTCCTATTATTACTTATTGTATTTTTCTTATCAAAAAAATTTGTTTAAAAAAGCAAATGATTGAATAGTTATGAATATTTTAAGCATTAAAGTAGCTATCACTCATGATTTGTGCTTATTTTGATTATTCTGGCAATTTTATTTATTGTTATTTATATTAATCATTGCTAATTAGATTTTCATCAATTTTTTACTTTGCTAACACTAGTATGCATCAAATTTAATTATCTATTATCTTAAAATATCTGGTAATTATTTTGCATATATTTGTATATTAATATTATTCAGAGAGCAAAAGTGAAAAGGTTCTTATAAAGCATGAAACGGAAATTTACGAGGTTAACAGATACAAAACTGAATTGGAGAAACTTGAAAGTGATAAAGTTAGTTTTTGAGATTAAAATCCGATAAGATTTGAATTTAGCTAAATTTTTAAATGAAAAATATTTGTGCTTTATAAAAAGCTTTTTAATGAATTACATAATAATTGAAATAATTTTTAGGATGATTTGGAAAAACGTATGGTGTTTTTGCAAGATGAGCTTAATGAGAAAGATCAATATATTGATCGATTGAATGCTGAGATCGCTGAACTAAAGCATAAATTAGAAACTGAAATTGCAAAAGTTCGGAAGGAAACAACAATGGTGCAAGAAAAATATCATATCGATTTGGATGAAGAAAAAGACAACCATCAAAAGGTTGGTTATTCAAAAGATCGGTAAATAATTAAATAAGTAAATAAGTATACCAATATAAGCGTAAAAATATAATAAAACATAAAGAGAAATAAATGATAAAAAGTGAAAGGATTTTTTTTCTTTTGAAATTGCATTTGTTTTTTTTTGTTTTTCGGTTTTATCTTAATTTTTCTTCTTCTTTGACATCCGTCGTTGAAATTACTCACTCAACATAAATTGTTCTCTTCTTAACTTGGCAATATTTTTTATCGATGTTTATACTGAATGATTAAAATTTATATTAGTTATTGAAATATTCGATTAAATTTTATTTTATTATCTAATTTCTCAAATATTCATCTTTTTTTATTAAGCCAAACAATATTTTTTTGCTCAGTATGATTTCTTTTTCCTTTTTTTAAAAAATAATAAAAATTACATAATTTGTCAAACACATTTTAGAAGATTGATTCGATGAATGCTTTGGTGGAAGAATTACGCATTAAATTAAATGACGCTGAACGAGCAATGACTGATTTACAAAATCGTGATAGCATTCTGGAACGTGAGAATAACGATTGGAAGGAAAAATTTGATGCATTAAATATGGAGTTGGATTCTTTACGTAATGAATTATCACTTGTACGACGTGATGCCGAAAAAGTATTTTTCTAATTTATTGATTTAAAGATTTGAGATTTAAATAATTTCAATTTTACCAACCTTTTTTTAATTGCTTACTTAGAAATTAGATTAATTTTAAAGAATTAATGTATAAATGATTGATATTGCTTAAATTTGCTATAATTACACATGATTCATCATAAATTTGATTTAATTTATAGGAAATTAATCGTTATAGTATCGATTTCCAAACAGCCCGTAATGAAATTAAATTGCTCTCTTCAACCAATACCGAAATGAAATCACAACTTGCCGCTGCAGAAGATAAGATTAATTCGTTGAATAAAATTATCACCGATCAACAGAATAAAATTCGCGATTGTAGGCTTTTTTCTTTATTAAAAAAATGAAAAAAAATTCATTAAAAAATTGAATATTGAAAATTTTTAAAAATTTTCTATACTCAAAATTTCATGAAAAATTTAATTATTATGTGATATCGATAAAAAGTAAATAAGTTGTAGCATAATTGATTGATTAATAAATAAGCGAAATATTTTTATGACTTAATAGACAGTCGTGATTTTCCTTGATCCGGAAATCGTTGTCAGTTAATGGATGAAAAGATTATCATTTTTAATGTGCATTTTAGTATTCAATAGAAATTATTCAATAGAAACATCTCTCGCTGAGCATTTTATTTAAATTGGAATTGAACTTATTAAATTGCAACAAAAAATTATTGTGTTAATTGAAATTATTGAAATTATTTATCGAAATTATTAATCAACACTGAAATTATTTATTGAAATTATCAACTAATATTGAAATTATTTATTGAAATTAATTAACTATATTGAAATTATTTTATTGAAGTTATTCATTAACAATATTAAAAGAAAAAAATGAACCTCGATTTCGTTGCAGTAACGAGTGAAATTCGTCATCTGGAAGGTGAAATTAACGATGCGAAAGGAAATATAGCAAATTTAGAATCTGAATTGGATGCTGCTCGAGAACGGATTCATCTGCAGGGAGAGCAATATGCTTCACTTCAAGCCGAACTTAACAAAATGAAAAGTGACATGGATTCATTGATTACTGAAAATGATATACTCAAGGTTACATATTATTAATTATCACTAATTATTACAATGTACTGTTGCAATTTTAATTCTGGAAGAAGAGAGAAAAGTTTTAGTATATATTATAAATGTTTAAAAAATTTCGTTTAATTTAATCAAATTTCAGACTACTAAAGAATCAAATGAAATTGAAATAGATCGTTTAAAACAAAAGCTTCAGCGAACAATTGAGAATGCTAAAAAACATGCCGATGCTCTTGAAAAACTTCGTCCTGAGGTAAAATTGAATACTTTTGATATTTCCATATCATTTTGAAATATTTATTCGTTTCGAATCATAAACAATTTTTTAATTTCTGTTTTCAATTAAAATTTGAATCGGTAAATTACATTTATATTTATCAATAGCGTTTAATTTTTAATTCCTCATCCAATCCAATTATGTATAACTTTTCATCTTTTTATCGTTTAGCATGAACGCCTACAAAATTCACATGATGGAAAAGTAAGGGAAGTGGAAAATTTAATGCAAACAATCCAAAATTTGGAATTACGATTGAATCAATCACGTCGAGAACTTCGGGATGCAACTGATAAGGTCTTTAATGCATCTTTTTGCATATCAAATTTTCAGATATGTTAGCATCTTGCTTTTTTGATATGAATGAATGTAGGAATTGTAAAAAAACCTCTTTAAATTATTAGCATATTTTGCAGCATTCTTTCAATTATTTTGAAATTTTTACACTTCTTAAAAGTGAAAATTAAATGTTAGCAAAAATGCATAAATATGAAGTATTTTTCGATTTTTGCAGCTAATAGTTAGCGAAGGTGATCGCAATGCGCTTCGAAGTGAAATTGAAAAATTACAAAATGAGGTGCAATTTTTGCGTGAACAATTTCTTCGTAAAACGGATGAATATCAGGCAGCATTGAATGATCTCGTAAGCACTCATCGAAGTGCCGAAGAGGGTCGTGTTAATGCTGTACAGGAATTGGAAGCTCGCAAGTATGAAGTCAATGATTTACAAGTAAGTCAAAATACGTGAAATCCGTGTGATCTCATTTCTGTTATAAACGTTAACCATAGAATACAATTATGATTTAATGATTTAATAATAATGACAAAAATAAAGTAAAAGACAAAAAAAAAACAAATCATAAAAGCAGTTTTAATTTTTCATGGAAGCATTATATAATTGAACAAATAACGTAATTCATTAATTAGTGCTTAGAAATATTTTAAAATGAATAAGTTTATTTAATTGTTGAAATTAATGTTAATCCATAATGACTGACGATTATTATCGATTCATAAATTATAATGATTTCCTTCTAAATGATTCTTTTACAATTATTAGATGCAATTAATGATAATACTAAATAATATTGTGCACAAAAATATAAGTTTGTTAATTTTTTAAGGGTTTAAATTGTAGA